TTTATACTAATTACTGGATTTCATTGTCTTCCATTCTTGATATTTTTGGGGGTATGAGATGACTTGTTCTACTTGAGACAATTTTTCAAAATGGATATTTAAATTTTAGCTGTTTTTGCAGCTTGCAAAAGTGTGTTGGAGGATTCATCCAGAGGCTATGGAAAAGGTTTTGGAAGTGATTCTCCTCCAGGGGTCAGGAAATGCTAATGTGCTTGTCTCTGCAATTTTGAAACTCTGAATTTCCTTCCTAATGGAGAGCTTCTGCATGCCCAGATAAGAAGCGCTCATCTAGAAGAGACGCAAAGGTAGGCATTCCTTTACACAGACTACATAATCCCAACCCCTAGGTTTGAAAGCAATCAGAATGAATGCTCATCCATGAAGATATACACGAAGGTTTTGATTGAGCTACCATCTGGGCCTAAGCTTCTCATGTGACAAGACAAACTGAACCTCATTCAGGTTCTTTGATTATTAATCTAATTTTCAGTTTGGCAATGTATGGGGGAGCTGGCCAAGAGCCCTGACTATCTGTGTTAATGATATGGCAAGAGGATAAAATAAGAAACAGACAAATTTAGTAATACATGATGAGTGACTGGGAAGTTGATGCTTCTAGATATAATAAAAGACAGACAATTAAAGACAGCCAGTCTTTTTGGCTGTTTCAGTGATATGTGGAACTAGTACAAGATTCAAAGTTGGTACAAGACTCAGAGATCTGTGAATCAAAGGGCCAGTATAATCTTGGGATGACTCAAGAGGATGGAGATGGTATCATGCTAAGAAGGATGTTGCCCTGCAGTGATTTTCTAAACATAGTGATCTTAGTTTTAATTTTGATAAGTGGTAGAGGATGGCTCATCCCTAAAAATTGGACATGAAATCTCAAATGGGTGGTCCTGACAATCCCAATCCTTTTATCCTTTCAGGAAATATGCAAAATTAGCCATTGGGAATTTGAGATCCCCAACAGCAATACATTTTTAATATTTTTTTCATTTTGAATAGACTAAAGTAACTCAAAACAAACCAAAACAAAATAAAAATGGAACAAAGAAAATCACAACAGAACATTGCAAGCAATATTGTATTTGAAAACAAGACAATAGGAAATTAACAATGGTGACAATTGTGTCTCTTCTGCAAAATTGCTGTCCATCCCTTCATACACAATGAAATCAAATAATAGCAGAATCAAATCAATCAAAACACAAAAACGAATGCATCACAGCACTTCAAAAGCAGATAATAGGAGGGCTGGAGGTTTAGCTCAGTAGCATAAGCACCTGCCTGGCAAGCACAAGGTCATGAGTTCAATCCCTGGTACCAAAAAAACCAAACCCCCCTCCCCCCAAAAAAACAGCTAAAAGGAAATGAATGGTGGTTAGGATAATGTCTCATTTTCTTAATCAATCATATATTTATGTTTACAGATTTTTTTTTGCTAAGAACCCACTAGACACCCACCATAGGAAGCTTTTGGTTCTGATTCGCTTTCTGCCCTTGACATGGGTATGAATTTGTTCTTCTGCCATGCATAGACTCACTCATCCATCTCTTCTCCACTGCTCTGCCTCTGAGGAATAAGACAATTAATCACAGTAGTGCTCTCCATTTTTTCTCAGGTTTACTGCATAAATTTTCTTGTTGTGTGTTTATGTAGTACAGAGACTGAACCTCTAAGACAATCATGACTAAAAACAGTTCCTTGGTCATATTATATATTTAACTGTTGTCCTGGGTGTTCAACAACTCAGCTGTTGAAACCACAACAACTACTAAGCTAACTGAATATGCAGTATTTTTCTGCTGACTATCAAGATGAATGGGCAAACAGGACATGAGGTAATTAAAATAACATCCAAGGATTGGTTTTATCAATGCCAAGTCTATTGTTGCTGTAAGTATACCTTAACAAGTGGTTTAGAAACTTTTGAAAGTAATTTTCTAGAGAAAGTTTGGAAACGTTTGGTGATGGAGGATGGAAAGACTTACAAGGCCAGTACATGGGGCCCACTCTGTGATCCTGGTCACACTTTAGAAGACCAAAATGCTGATTGGAGTGTGTACAGTAAAAGCCAGCCTTAAGAGATTTCACTAGACTTTAGGATTCCATTGATATTTGGGCTGGAAACTATATGTGTTTACTCTGCAGAAAAGTTGTGTCCATTGTACCCTTGTCCTGACATTTTCAGGAGAATGAAATGAATGGCAATGAACTAATTAACCTGGCAGTGCAAATTTGAAGACAGGCCAGCTTCTAGGCTCTGCCATGGAAACTGCTGGCTCCTTTCAATCAGATATATGGTAAGATTCAGGGGCAATCATCAAAGCAGAGCCACGCATGGTGGCACACACCTGTATTCATAGTATTTGGAAAGCTGAGGGCTGAGGATCACCACAAGTTCAGCTTGAGTTCCATAGTGACTTAAAGGCTAGCATGAACTGCACACTGAGAACCTGTCTCTGAAGAAAAAAATCTACAAAATTAGAAAAATTTTATCTTTCACACAGAAGGAACCATATCTAAAGTTTGGAGCCAAAATAAGGTATTAGCACCATTAAAACATTGCAAAGGGATCAGAATGTTGATAAATTGAAGTTATCTCAGGAATCAAAAACATACACCTCTTTGGAGGCTTGAAGGTGCAAACTGAAAATCTTTTATTTGAGAAGTAGTCCCTGGAATGTTGCTAGAGAAGGATCTTTTACAGAATTAGTTTTCTAGGATTTGTTTCACTATGTTTAGGTATCCATGTACTCAGAGGCTGTGGTAGCCAAAGTCTAAAGGGGTCTGACTACCCTTCAAGCTGGCAGCACACATTATCACTGTGTGGGACACTTCTTTTTACTGAAATACAGAGTGCAAAAGCTGTGGGTCAGAAATTCTTCCACCCAAAGTTAAAAGAAGATCTTGGAAGCCAGAAGAGGAAGACCTGTTAGGGCAGTCAGTCAGGTGAGGGTATGAAATAAATGATTCAGTGGAGAGCCTAGCAAGTTGGAGATGATAGAAATCTCAAATGTGCATCATAGATAAATGAAATAGAATAGAAGAATAGAACCATCTCAAGAAGGGACTACATGGTCTGCAACCAGCATGGCTGTGGCAGTGGTCCTGCCAAGCTCTTTTGAATGTCAGTCTTAAGTGCTCTGCCTGTCAGATACGAAGTTTCAGAACTTCATATTTGCCTTGCTAGATTTGGTTTTGCTTTGGTCTGATTTCTTCTATTTCTAAATTCTTTTTCCATTTTGGAATGAGAGTGTTTACATTGTCATTCTACTATTGACCAGGATTTTAAATTTACAGAGGTGAATAGTTAACAGTTTGCCTTGAACTTCTGAAGGGACCAGGACTTCTGAAAAATGCTGGAACCACTGAGCCTTTGGGAAGTGATTAGTGCATTTCCAGTTGTACACAGGATAGTTATATTATGTGTCATTCTATGAACTAAGGAATGCATAAAAAAGATGTTGCATTTATATACGTTCTAGTCAGTCATAAAGAAGGATAAATTGGAGACTTTTATAGGTAAATGAATGCATCTTGAGAACATACTCATGAGTTAAATAAATAAAACATACATGGATAAACCACATGGTTTCATTAGTGAGATAAGATGAAGGAAAGTCATGTGTATGTATATAAAAATATCTAAGTATCTTTGCTTTATCAGTGCCAGTTTTTTTCTCTTAAAGTACAACGTTAAAACTATGGTTTTCCTTGTTTCCTCTCAACCATATTTATTTCCTCTACCCCTTTAAATTAACTGTCTTTATTCACTTCCTGGGTACCTTCCCAGAAGAATCAAAAGCATCATAGTGTGAGAGCATAACTATATCATTAGTGAAGGTATAGTCATGGAATAAGAAACTTACAGACATGTTACAACAAGTTTGAATTCAATAGCAGCCTCTCCCTATGCCCCTGCTTCCTGTCCTGTGAACACCCTGCTGAACTTAGTGAGTCTTGACTGGCTGGGGTCAGCTGCTTTGCCTCTGATGATGTGCTTGGCCCATCTGACTCTTCTCAGTAAATATACTGCTTCTCACTGGCTTCAGGTACTTTGATTGGGACAAAGTAACCTGGTGAAAGACACTTTCTAACTCTGCTTGCTCCATTTGAATCCATCTCTGTCATCCCAAGGATGTTCCTATGTTAAAATAAATGACTCCTTTTAAAAAGGTGTATTTAGGGTTAGTTTTCCTAACTAACTAGGTATATTTAGGGTTAGTTTAGTCCATATAGGACTTCATTCAATCCATGTACCCAATCATATAATGTCTTGTACTTCTGGCATGTAAACTATATTTGTCCTGGACTCTAGATTGGCTCCTTGGATTTGGTCTGCTAGATAACAAACAGTTGCCTTATAAATGCATGGTTATAGAGTCTCCCATCTCCCACTGGGTTTGACACGGGCATTTCTGTAACACTACTATAGCAATATGTGGCCAGCCTTGCTTATTAGCTTCACAGTATGTAATAGCTAACTCTTAGAAATAGCTCAAGTGACCATCAAGTGAAGAATGGAGAAAAACAATGCAGTTTCTTTCTTTTTTGTTTTTATTAAATGGAGTATTACTCTGCCACAAAGAAAACATTCACACATTTTTTTTTGATAAATAATCTTGAGGACATAATTGTAAGTGCAAAAAGGCACATGTGCAAATACTACATTACCTATCTGGCTTGAGAAATTAAAAACATCATTATAACGATTTCTTCAAAATCAAATGAAAGAGGCAGGGGAGAGGGAAAGGAAGGAAGGGGATCAAAAATTGAGAAAAGAAAACTAAAATGATACCTGAGTTTTGTAACATGGAAAGGAAGAGGATTGAAAAGGGATGGAAAGAGGGGAGAAAAGAAGAATCAAGGTATATGGTGTACAGACAGAAATTGTGCAAATCAGCATAAACTTAAAGCACTAAATCAGCTGCACTGAGGCTTTAACTGCAGCAGGACTCCCTTCCTGGAGCGGCTCTGGGAGCTGCACCTGCTAGACCAGGCTGGCGCACTGGCTGAACACTCTCCTCAAGTTCTCAGCGTCCACAGCACAGGTGAAGTGAGCAGAGCAGCGGAAGTCTTCGCTGCCACACGCCCTGCTGATGCTGAGAAACTTGTCGCGGATGAAGTACTTGGCCCGGGTGACGCGTGGGTCCTCTCCGGGCTCGGGAGTAGCGTCTTGAGGAGGAGTGTAGTGAGCAAACTCTGGAAAGTGGTCTTCGATCTTGGACTTGCCAGCAAGCACTTTCTCGGCCAGCAGATCTTGCTTGTTGAGGAACAGAAGCACACAGAGGGAGCTGGGGCATGTGCGCCAGACGGACCTGAAGCTGTTCAAGGCCTCCTGAAGTTTGTTGGTCCCCGAGAAGTTCAGGTCATAGCTGCTGCTGTCCAACACGAAGACGATGGCGCTCAGATGATCCACATACTCTGCCCATACCTGGCTGCTGTAGTACAGACCTTCTGGATAGAAGAGGTGAAACCTCACCTGGTCCACTTGGAACTTGGTCTCAAAGACTCCAGGAGTGTGGACGCGGCAGTGGAGGAGGTCCTGGTTGGTGGGCTCATAGTCAGGCTGCTTGATGACATCGATCTTGTCCAGAAAGTACCCGGAGCAGTCCATCAGCCCGCACAGCCTGGCGCGCTCACAGCAGTCGCGCACCCCCGCGTCCTCCCACAGCGCCCTGGCGTGCTCATAGAACTCGGGTGGGAAGCTGAAGTCGCGCTGTGCGCTGGCGCTCACGATGTAGTCTAGGCTGAGCTGGTTCTCAGGGTTGTCCAGCGCCAAGTGGGGCGGCCGGCGCCTCACCGCGGCCACGACGGTTTCAATGTCTGCCTTGAGGTTGCTCCTGATGTTCTGCACGGCGGTGGCTTGCTCGCGCTCCCCATCCAAAGCCTTCCCGGCCAAGATCTTGGCCTGCTTGAAAATGGTGCTTCTGCCAGATTCATTATCACCCAGCAGCAGCAGGCGGCGCGTGGCCAGGTAGAGGCGCTTGTGCTCCTTCAGCTGTCTGCGGGTCTCTCTGATGACCTCAAGCTGCCCCTTCTCCTGGAGCTTGCCTTCTCTCAGCCAGCCCTGGAACCGGTTCATGATGAGGGCAGGCCGGCGGGATGCGGTTGGGACTAGAAGTGACCACGCTGTTGCTCAGAAGGTAGGAGCTTCCGGTGCTCGCTGGCTCTTAGCACCTGTGCCAGGGGAGGCTCTTAGTGGCACCTTTCCCTGGTGCTGTGGGCTTCGAGTCAGCACTGCAAGAGGACAGAGCAGCGGGTATATAAGGAACAGGTGGGCGGAGAGAGAGGAGAGTGGAGAGGGTAGAGAGGGAGGAGAGCCCTTCCTCCTCCCCTGGGGCTGTTTTGAAATGAGAACTCTCTTAGTGAGCCTAACCCTGACCAGAAAGCGCCCTGAAGCCTCCCCACTGGCTCCATCTCCAACCCTCAGTGAGGCTCAACCCAGTAGAGAAAGACAACACAGTGAAAACCTTGCACTAGAGGCAAAATCTCAGTCACAGGCCGTGCCTTTGCCTTTTTTTTTTTTCTTTGTTTCTTTTAAGATAGGATCTTGCTCCGTATTTTAGGCTGAACTTCAATTCACTATGAAGCCCTGGTTGACCTGCAACTTTCTGGAATCTTCCTGCCTCATTTTCCCTACTACTTACTCCTATTTAATGAAGCCATTCTCCTGACATCCTTTTGTGTTTGTGTGTAAATATATTTTTGGCATTGGCTTGCTCTGACTTAATTTCCTGCCATGGCTCCCTAGATGCTTTGCCAGTATTTTTTCTCCTATTGGGAGGGCTGCCTTTTCATTCGTGGTTTTGTTTGCTGTGTGCTGTGTAGCAACTACTTAATTTGATGCTGTGCAACTTGTTTAATTTTACTTTTTGCCTGTGCTTCTTGTGTCATATCTAAAAACCTACTGTCAAGTACCATGTGAGGGACCATTCCCACTGTATTCTTGCAGTTTTATTATGGTTTGGGGCCTTATGTTTGAGTTTTAAATGCACTTTACTTTGATTTGTGAGTGTGGTGTAACATAAAGATCCAATTTCTTTTCGGGTTTTGAATGCACATATCCAGTTTTATCTACACCATTTCTTGCAGAGATTGTCCTTCCCTCATTGTGCGTTATTATTACCTTTGCCAAGGTTATACAAGAATAGGGTACAGTCTTTTGTTCCATTGAGCCCTTGGTGTGTTTCATGATAGGATGATAGTGTTTTGATTGCTCAAGCTTTGGAACACAGTTTAAAATCAGGAGTGTTACACTTTCATCTTCATTCTTGCCTAAGACTCCTTTAGCTAATCAAAGTCTTCAACCATTCTACTCAGAATTTAGAATGTTCATATTTTCATGTGGTAATGCTATTGGACTGATATTGGGAATGCTATTGAGCAATGACATTGAACCTGTAGATTGCTTTGGGTTGAATGGATGTTTTGACAATGTTAATTTTTGTGGTGTATGAGGACAATGATTTATGTGTGTGGAACTTAACAAGTATTAGTGTGCAGATGTGTAAATTTTTGGTTAAATTTATTCCAATGAATTTGTTTCTGATGCTCTTATATGTGGGGTATTTTTTGTTCCTTTTGGTACACTGTTAGGGTGTAGATATGGATCTAGTTTTGTATGTGGATATTATGTCCTGCAAATTGACTGAATTTATTTAGTAATTACAGGTTTTTTAGTATGTTTTCTATGTGATAGGTCATGCTCTTATCAAACAGACACACATTTGTTTGTTTGCTTCTGATGCAAGGGCTTCATATTTCTTTCTCTTATCTGTTTTCTGACTAGGACTGTCAGTGCGGTATGTTGACTAGCAGTGGTGGTAGTCACATGCCCGTGACTGTAACAAGATCCTTGACATGCACTATTTATGGAGCAGAGGTCTATTTTTGTTCAGGTATTCAGAGATGTCGGTGATGGTTGTCTGGTTCTGAACAAATGAAACTGTATCAGAGAGTAAAGCTGCTCCACCGATGGCAGCCAGGAACCTTGGAGGTAGAGAAAGGCAGTGGAGAGGCACAGAAGAATTCACTGATCCCTCAAGTAGATCTGACGTTAATGATCATTTCTTGGCTTCAGTACAGGTCATTCAGTGTGCTGGCACAAATTTATCTTCCCACCTTCTCACACTTTCTGGCTCCCATCCCTGAGCACTGGGGCTGCCTAAGCAGGTCCTTGATACAGCCCTGCAAGAGGCATGGTAGTAGGCTCTAGATCTCCACCCACACTCATGGAGGACATTGTTATGGGATCTAGGCCCTCAGATAGTGTTGTAGTCAGGGGTTGTGCAGCGAACTATTAGAATCAGGATATAGAGTTTATAATATTTTTGTATAATGGTCACCGGGAGTTAACACAAGAAAATGCAGGAAATCTATTCACAACATCAAGAGCATAGAATATTTAGTCGGGGGCCTGAATCCCACAGCAATGTCGCACATGAGTCCAGATAAAAACCCAGAGCTCATGACAATGCCTCCACAAGTCCAACAGGAAGTCCTGAGCCCAACAAGAAGGACTCACGCCAGTCTCTCTTATGGAACCATGCCAGGAAGGCCCAATCACTCATGCATGAGTAATCTGAGATTCATTTTCACTTCCCTAAAAACTTGCAAATCTAGGTTTTGTATGTCTTCACACCAAATTAGGTTACTTCTGAAACAGCAATTAAAAGCAAACTGAATTTTGACTGATGCTGTAGTGACATCAGTATATTGGACACTCTATGATCCTTGGAGAAGCATACAGAAAAGCTGTTAGATGAAAAAATGTGGCTCAAAATTGTCCATGTTTGCACACCTGTAAACACAATTTTCCATTCCTCATAATGAGTCCGTAAAAGCCTAGATTGTTTATGGCACCCCAGGAAAAGCTACTGATATACACAGCCAACTAATATCATTCTAATGACCAAATTTACAGTAGTGAAGTAAGGGATGGGCCCACTGGACCAGTGTTGTTTACTGCAGCATTTAAAATGTGACAGTTGTATGATAACATGGAATATCGGTATACTATTAAATGTAGCTTTTAATTTTGATTGTAGAGAAGAGAGCAGATGGGGCACATGAATGGTAGACAACTCTGCCTATTTTTGTCTCTTTCATGGTGGTTAATTTTTTTTATTTAAAGAAAGACAAAATAAAACAGAAAATGGGCAGAAATAATGCATACTTTCAAAGAAAAAAATAAACAACAATAAATCACTAGTTAATGTTTACATATTGTCCTCCCACAAATAATTGTTCAATATACAAAAGTGGAACATATAAATGGAAATTCAACCAGGAAAACTGCAAACAGTTCTGTTCAACTATCCAACAAAAACTAAGTAATATGGCTATCAATCCTATACACTTAGACATGTACACATTTATCCATACCTTCATTTATGCTGAGACCAAACAAAACAGGGGATTAAAATCATTCTGAGTGAAGCTTAATAGTATTGCTGGATTTCACATCATGACACTCCAGAATCAGCTCTGGGTACTGCAGAGCCCCTTTTTTTCCTTCAAAGTATTTGTTCATTTCATCATGTGTCGTAAGATCAGTTCTCATAAACTGTTTATAGGTTTTACGCAAGCATGAGTCTTAACATGTATTTCTATCCTTTCTATATTAGAGGGAGAAACAGAACAGAATAGGACAGAACAAAACCTTTTCCTATAGACACATAAAACTAAAAAGACATGTAAAACTGCTGTACAAGGAGTTCTATCATGGTTACTGTGCTATCTCTTGTTATCATCAACAGAATTGGCTATATTATCAGATAAAATATAATTGAATATATCAGTTCATTACGGAATTAATAGAAATACAACTTTGTAGATAGTGTAGAGCCAGAAAAATAGGTAGTAGTCAAATCAGAAGGGGTATCGTAGTGAATTATTGTCATTTTCAGTATAGTTGTCTATACTCTCTGACTTGATACCATCAGCCAATCAGTTTTGAGTAAAATCTGTCAAAAATAAGCAGCAATCAAACAAATCAGATTTAACTAAGATCAGTCAAGATACAACAGTTTAAGTCATATAGGAATCTGGATTAAGTTAATAGGAAATTAAAGATGACCACTGTGTTATATGCTGATATCTTCGGGACAGCTGTCTGTGCCCTCAGATCCAGTGCTTGTATATAAACTGGGACAGAACAAGTTCCATCCAAGCAGAGTGGTGCAAGCAATAAGGGTTTTAATACCTGATACACTACTAGCAATATCTTCTGCTGTCTTTTTAAAGACTATTCCTCCCCTTTCACTCCTCGAGGATGTACTTGTATTTTTGGTCTCCCCAACACTCTCAGTTTTATATTAGGGGCAACCTGCTATTTATCTAAGTGTTTCTGAACTTTCTCACTCCTGGACTTGATCTCTAGTTGTATTCTTTCACTTATTAAAGCCTATCTTTTCAACCTATCCATAAGTACTGATCTATTTGCCCCTATTACTCTCTGGTTCCCTATCATATTGAGTTCTGTTTTCTCATATTTGATTTTGGTCCATATACCTTTCTTCAGGTTAATTATATTCCCTATAAAGAGCATCTCGGTTGACTCTACCTCTTGATCCCCTCTGCCTGTGGTTCTCTCTTTTTTCCCTTAAGTTAGTGTAGCTAGGCCATCTATATTAGAAATTATATCCAACCTTCTCTGCTTCATTTCTGTTGTGCTCTTTTTCTGTCATTAGTTTTCTGTTTGTCTTCTTCGTTTCTCTTTTTGTTCCATTCGTTGGGGCCTCTCTGCATTGTTCCTGAAATCTTGTGCTTTTCTCTCTGTCTAGAATGTCCTGTAGTATTCTTTGTGGAGTTGGATTGGTGGTTGTGAATTCCTCCAGTTCCTCTTTATCTTGGAAGCATCTTGTTTCTCCATTAATTTCTATGGAAAATTGTACATGATAGACCAACCTTGGCTAGAGGTTATTTTCCTTCAAGGCTTGGATTATTTTTCCCCACACTCTTCTCCATTTGATGGTTTGTGCTGAGAAGTCTGATGTGATTCTCATGGGCTTTCTCTTGTAAGTGATCTGTTTCTTGTCTCTGACAGATTTAATATTCTGTTCTTATATTGGATTTCTGGAATCTTGATTATTATATGCCTGGGTGGCTGGAGTTCTGTATGCCTCATACATCTGAGTATCTTTTCCTATGTTTGGGAAGTTTTCCTTAACTAGTTCTGTGAATAGCCTTTGCAGTTCCTTTGTTTGTACCCCTGCTTCTTCAT